TGATGAAAACACCCCAAGCTTAAGAATAAAAAGAGATTTCAAAAAGGGTAATGAAGGTATATACACTCTAACGGTCCAAGAGGGGGTAACTACAATGGTCAAATTTGATGTATGTGAGATTATGGACTGTAATCACATCCCTTTAATGTATACAAAAGGTGATTATGAAAATTATATGTGTGGGAACGCTGAATGTTACTACTGGACTGATATCTGGTGGACCACAGATATGGATGGTTACTACTCAAGAGATGTCATAGTCCCTGAAAACTTAAAAGACCTTGTAGAAAGAATAACCCTAAGTCGTCTTAGACTTAACGCCCTTGAATGTGCCAATCAGAAGAAATGCAATCCCCTAAATTTGACCTTTAAGCCAAAAAGGGAAGATTCAGGGACTTACGCCCTCGGTGTCACTGTACCCGCACGTAAGGACACCATAGTCAAATTTAGGATCACCTCTAATAACTCAGAAGTACAGGCCCCAATGAACCACGCCTTGGGTCTCCCTAATGCAAGGCTTAAAAAACTAATTTTACCTACAAGGAACAGCTCAGTATTGAAACAGGATATGGAGATACAAATTAATGGATAGAATGGATTAGGTGGACAACTAAGAACAAGGGTGGTGGAGACTGTATCTCCTGTGCTAATCCCCGCCCATTAGTGGCCACTGTTCCCTTTTTAGAAGAAGAAACCAATGTATCCTGTCTAATTAATATACAAATAAAATGTCACTGATAAAGAATGCATTGACGTTCTTAGGAAATTCCCTATTACCAGATTACACCTTCGACCGCAAAGTCGGTAGCAGGAAATTTCACCTGTTTTAAGCATAATGATACTGAAGGCAGAGGCTTAGGCACACTCCCACCTAATTATGTATTAAAACCATTGTCCCATCTGCAAAAGGCTACCAGAAGGAAAGGTTTCATGATCAACGGCAGCAACTGTCAAATGTGTGGTGGTTGTGTGGAGATATGAAATTAAGGGCTAGATGTCCCAATAGATGGAGAGGAAGCTGTGCCCTGACCCATCTCCTCATGCCTTTTTATATGATCAAGGTAGGGGATAAAATAAGAAGCATGCCCATCATAGAGAAACATAAATCAGAAGATCTAAAAGAAGTGTGCCCCAAGGTTCTTTTGATAATAGGGTTTATATAGTTTCAATTGGGGTCCCAAGAGGAGCCCCTGATGAGTTTAAGGCCCAAGACCAGATTGCTGCAGGGTTTGCCTCTATTGCCATTTGGGTACAACCTAATAAAAATGTGGCTTGGATAAACTACATTTATTATAATCAACAGAGGTTTGTTAATTATACTAGAGATGCTTTAAAGGGTGTCTCTAGCCAGCTTGATGCAACATCCCTCACTGCCTGGCAAAACCGTATTGCCCTTGATATGCTATTAGCTGAGAAAGGAGGAGTATGTAAAATGTTTGGTCCTTTCTGTTGTACTTTTATCCCCAATTATGCTGCCCCTGACGGAAGTATTACAAAGGCCCTTCAAGGCCTCCAAATGCTATTCGAAGAATTAGCTGAAAACTCAGGAGTAGAAAATCCACTAGCCGGATTGTTTGAAACATGGTTTGGTAAATGGGGGGCCCTGATGAAAACTATGTTAATTTCTATAGTGATGGCTGCTGCAGTATTAACTCTGTGTGGTTGCTGTTGTATCCCCTGTATCCGGGGCCTAGTGCAGAAACTTATTGACGCCACCATCACCAAAACTATGTGGTATCAGTCCCTTGACAAGAGACATACTAAGGGCCCTAAGTACCGACCAGTAACTATGGTGTAAGGCCATGTGCATGACCTAAGAGGGGATTGAAGGAATCAGTATTTAGCTTATGCACTGCCATTTTATGTACTGCATCCATTTTGTTATCTTATACTGTGAAGATTAAGTTTCGTTTCTCTCTGTAATGTGGAACTTCCCCTTTTTTAGAGACTTATCAAGAAAAACATCTGTGTCTCAAACCTGCAGTTAGGTGCATCCTGTCACACAAACTGTAGCTAGAGATAATGTAGAAACAGGAGGTTTTGGGGAACTTTCATCAGGCTTGAATTTCATGATGTACGCGTGGTACAACCTGATTGGCTCTTATATTTCTATGCATTGTTTGAGTTTTACATATAAGCTGTTGCGTTGACAATAAAGATAGCTCATTCTGAGATACTACCTCGTGTTGGTGTGGCTCCGAGGGCGGTACCTGGTCTACCAGGGACAGACGGGGGTCGTAGAAAGGACCAATTTCCTTTCACGGACAACAAAAGTGTACCTCAGGGTGGGACCACATCTTGTAGAACTTTTTTGCCAAATGTCAGGAATTGTAAAAGGACATCAGCTCTAGAATGTTTAATTAAGCTATCCTGGCTTTGCAGATTTGTTTCACTGAGGCGCCTGGATTTTCTGCCCATGATATTGCCAAGAGCTGGTAAAATGTGCTTTTAATGAATGTGGCACCTGAAATCTGTCTACTTTATATACAAAAATATATAGTTTGCCGTATCCACATGACAGGTATACTCTTTAAAGCCTGTGCGGCCTTCTTATGGGCACTAAACAAAATCAAAAGATAGCTTGATCTTTTGAATTCTTCAATGATATCTAAATGTCTTATTAGACATCTTCATATGTTTTCTTCCGTGAGTTCTCTAGGGTTGTCACAAAAGGAAAGCAGCACAGTTTCCTAAGTTCTGTGAAACATTGTAGTGAATACATGAGGCCTGGTTAAGGATAACCCTATCTAGGAGAATTGTAAGATGCTGACAAGAATTGAAGATCCTCTACTCGACTGGCTGTTGTGATGACTGGAAGAAACACCACATTTAACCATTTGCCCACAGGACTTTTACCCCCTTCCTGCCCAGGCAAATTTTCAGCTTTCAGCACTGTTGCACTTTGAATGACAATTGTGCAGCCATGCAACATTGAACCCAAAATAAAGTTTTATCATTTTTTTAGACAAATAGAGCTTTCTTTTGGTGGTAGTTAAATCACCACTGGGGTTTTTATTTTTATGCTAAACAAAAAAAGACCAAACTTTTTTTAAATAAAGTTTTTCTGATTTTCTGTTATAAAGTTTTGTAGATAAGTGATTTTTCTCCCTCACTGATGTGCGCTAATGAGGCTGCATTGATGAGGCGGCACTGATAGGCATCACTGATGGGCACTGACAGGCATCACTAAAGAGGCACTGAAAGCCAGCACAGATGGGCACTATTGGACGCACTGATGATCAGTGTAGATACCCCCTGAGAAATGCCGCTTACCAGCTCTCCTCTCCTCATGCGCTGCCAGTGTGAGGAAAGGGCTGCCAATAACCGGCATTTTCTATTTACACTGTGATCAGCTGTGATTGGATACAGCTGGTCACATGATAAAAGGTGGCTCTGATTGGCCCTTTACTTGGACACATGATCCAAACTCCATACTCTTACTACTTGACCTCTCTGCGGTTTTTGATACTGACCATCCCCTCCTCCTCAAAAAACTCCATTCTCTTGGCCTCCAAGACTCTGCTCTCTCCTGGTTTTTCTACCCATCGCAATGCTCCTTCAGCATTACCTATAACTCTGTCTACTCCTCTCCACTCCCTCTTTTTGTAGGGGTCCCTCAAGGTTCTGTCCTTGGACCCCTTCTTTTCTCTATCTACACCTCCTCCCTTGGTCACTTGATAAACTCCCATGGCTTTAAGTACCATATCTATGCTGATGACACACAAATCTATCTTTCTACTCCTCACCTCACCCCTTCAGTCTTCCTCTCGCTTTACCAACCTACTAAGTGGCATATCAGCATGGATGTCACTCCACTTCCTCAAACTAAATCTTTCCAAAATGGAGCTTATACTATTCCCCCCAGCCCATGCTCCTTCCCCTGACTTCTCATCAAGATCAATAATACAATCATCAGTCCCTCCTCTTATGCCAGGGTACTAGGTGTAATCCTAGACTCCCATCTGTCCTTTCAGCCATAAATCCTTTACCTCCACAACATCTCAAAGATACGCCCATTCTTAACCTCTGAAACCACTAAGCAACTTATTCACTCCCTTGTTATCTTTCGCCTCGACTATTGTAACTCCCTCCTCATTGGCCTACCTAATCGCAGGCTATCCCCTCTTCAGTCTATGCTGCTGCCAGACTCATCCACCTTACTAACCATTCCATATATGCCATCCCTCTCTGCCAATCCCTCTACTGGCTTGCCATTGCCCAACAAATAAAATTCTAAACATTAACAATAACATATAATGCCATTTATAACTCTGCCCCAAATTACATCACCAATCTTGTCTCCAAATATCACCCAAACCGTCCTCTCCGCTCCTCCCACAACCTCCTGCTCTCTAGCTCCCTTGTCTCCTCCTCCCATGCTCATCTCAAGGACTTCTCCAGAGCCTCCCCCATCCTCTGAAACTCTCTACCCCAATCTATCCGACTATTGCCTACTCTGCCAACTTTAAGGTGATCTCTGAAAACCTATCTCTTCAGGGAAGCCTATTCTGCCTTCAGCTAATAACGGAATCTTCTATTCTTCCTGTCAGTTCAACCCCCACAGTTATTACCTTTTGTACCATCAGCCCCTCACTCTTAGATTATAATCTCCAAGAAGCAGGGCCCTCCTAACCCTCTTGTACTGAACTGTATCGTTGCTGTATTGTCTCCCTTTATATTGTAAAGTACTGAGCAAACTGTTGGCGCTATATAAATCCTGTATAATAATAATAATAATGATAATAATAACTAGCTGACCACGCTGTAGATGTCTTTAGGCAATAGAGCAGTTGGGAAGTGGTTAAAGTCATACATTTTAAGGGAAGATGCTGTAAAGGTTCATAATGTAACCTTGTATGTCTATTTAGGACAGTGGTTCTCAACCTTTCTAATGCCGCGACCCCTTAATACAGTTCCTCATGTTGTGGTGACCCCCAACCATAAAATTATTTTCGTTGCTACTTCATACCTGTAATTTTGCAGTGGGAGGAGTAGTGCCACGTCACAGGTGTCAGTGGGAGGAATAGTGCCACGTCATTGGTGTCAGTGGGAGGAATAGTGCCACGTCATTGGTGTCAATGGGAGGAATAGTGCCCCATCATTGGTGTCAGTGGTAGGAATAGTGCCCCCATCATTGGTGTCAGTGGTAGGAATAGTGCCCCATCATTGGTGTCAGTGGTAGGAATAGTGCCCCATCATAGGTGTCAGTGGGGGGAATAGTGCCCCATCATTGGTGTCAGGGGGAGGAATAGTGCCCCATCATTGGTGTCAGTGGGGGGAGGAATAGTGCCCCATCGTTGGTGTCAGTGGGGGGAGGAATAGTGCCCCATCGTTGGTGTCAGTGGGGGGAGGAATAGTGCCCCATCGTTGGTGTCAGTGGGGGGAGGAATAGTGCCCCATCGTTGGTGTCAGTGGGGGGAATAGTGCCCCATCATTGGTGTCAGTGGGGGGAATAGTGCCCCATCATTGGTGTCAGTGGGGGGAATAGTGCCCCATCACTGGTGTCAGTGGGAGGAATAGTGTCCCATCACTGGTGTCAGTGGGAGGAAAAGTGCCCCATCATTGGTGTCAGTGGGAGGAATAGTGCCCCATCACTGGTGTCAGTGGGAGGAATAGTTCCCCATCATTGGTGTCAGTGGGGGGAATACGGCCCCATCATTGGTGTCAGTGGGGGGAATACTGCCCCATCATTGGTGTCAGTGGGAGGAATAGTGCCCCATCATTGGTGTCAGTGGGAGGAATAATGCCCCATCATTGGTGTCAGTGGGAGGAATAGTGCCCCATCATTGGTGTCAGTGGGAGGAATAGTGCCCCATCATTGGTGTCAGTGGGAGGAATAGTGCCCCATCATTGGTGTCAGTGGGAGGAATAGTGCCCCATCATTGGTATCAGTGGGAGGAATAGTGCCCCCATCCTTGGTGTCAGTGGGAGGAATAGTGCCCCATCGTTGGCATCAGGGGGAGCAATAGTGCCCCAACATTGGCGTCAGTGGGAGGAATAGTGCCCCATCATTGGTGTCAGTGGGAGGAATATTGCCCCATCGTTGGTATCAGAGGGAAGTATAGTGCCCCATCGTTGGTGTCAGTGGGAGGAATAGTGCCCCATCGTTGGTGTCAGTGGGAGGAATAGTGCCCCATCGTTGGTGTCAGTGGGAGGAATAGTGCCCCATCGTTGGTGTCAGTGGGGGGAGGAATAGTGCCCCATCATTGGTAATAGTGACACCAATGATTGGGCACTATTCCTCCCACTGACACCAATGATACTTACCTTGCTGACCCCTGCTCCAGCCTGGGCTCGCTCCCTCCCTCCCTCTCCCATGGTACAAACACTTACCGGTCAGATGGCTTCCTTCTCCAGCCGCTTTCCTCCTCTTCACTCGCTCGTGCTTCGCGGTGCCGCTCGGCTCCTCCTTTCCAAGCTCCACCTCCTCGCCGGTGATTGGCCGCCTGTGTGCCTCTCTTGAGCTACAGTTCCGGCGGCCAATCACCGACGAGGAAGGATTGATCCCGGGGGTGTGTCCAGATGACAGGGACGGCATGTCATCCCGCCCACACCTGCAGACGGATCAAGAGCGGTGTCTCGGTTCCTAAGGCCATCGGAAATATGTGTTTTCCGATGGTCTTAGGCGACCCCTGGGAAAGTGTCGTTCGACCCCCAAAGGGGTCGCGACCCCCAGGTTGAGAACCGCTGATTTAGGACCTTGGATAAATACCAGTGTGAAAAACCTTCTGTTGGACTGGCATAGAATGTTTCCTAGCTGAAAGAAATCTTTCAAGTAGAGGATCTGCTGTGAGAATTAAGTCAAGAAAGACTAAGAGGACAAAAGTCTAAGCATATAGAGTACTAGGAGCAAGAACTTGTTCTAATCCATATTGCAGAAAGTCTAGGATAGCTGGTAATGAAGGAAGGGTAAGACTATTATTTTTTTACCACAAGGAAAACACTTGCATATACTAGTGTTTTTCACCATGTTTCTTCTGCCAGTTTCAGCAGATCCATCCACCAAATTAATTTTTGGTGGATTTGTAGGGAAAGATAAAGCTGAGTTTAATTAATTATTTTTCCAATCCTAATTTGTCAAAAGGAAAGTCTGCAGGGCTCCCAAGTGCAGTTGGGCCCAAGTCAATGTCATTATTAAAGCAGTCACTAAATCTAAAAGTTTCATTACCTCTCTTGGAGTGACCCTGTAAATCTTTTCTTGTAGTAGACAAATCTCCTGTGCTATGGAGTCGGTTATGGCTATGGTAGACAAAAACTCAGCTCTTATTAATATTATTATACAGTATTTATAAAGCGTCAACAGTTCGCTCAGCGCTGTACATTACAATGGGAGACAGTACATGCGACAGTACAATAACAATGCAATGTGATACACGAGGGGTTTGAGGGCCCTGCTCCTTGGAGCTTACAATCTAGGAGGGAGGGGATAGTGGTACAGGTGGAAATAGATGTGGGGGATGGAGTGGTAGGAAGAGTGGAGGAGGTTGGTAATTAGCAGGGGGTGGGGTAGGCTTCCCTGAAGGCTTTCCCTCAATGGTTTTGAAATAACAGACCTCAATTCATTTAGGATGCCATCTGGTCCAGGTGCTTTATTCACATTTATTTTGTCTAAATATTTCTGGAGCATATCAGTTTTGAGCCATTGTGGATCATTTGGGGCTTTGTCAATATCATCTCCACTATGGACTTAAACTCCCCCATGCTGCTTTGTATACACAGATCTGAAGAAGGTATTTAACCTTCCTCTTGTGTTAGGGTCGGCACCAAATGCATAAAATAACCATATAAATTTGTTTATTGCATCAAGGCTTTATGATTTTGTCAGGAACCTCTATTTCAACAAAATAAAAAACAAAAAATTGTTTACTAAATTATATGCTCAAGTTGAAATTATGACCTTTGTGTTGTTATGGTCGGTTTCAACCCAGTTATACAAATAAGATTATAAAGCAATAATTAGAGCCAAAACTGAAATCATAAGTTCACTGTCAACCAGCACACTGACAGCCAGCTCCTCTCCCAATCATGTGAGCTTTAGGGGATTCTAATTTTTTGTTTTCCAGTATACCGGCACAAAAACAAAACAAACAAAGATGGGCATGTCCAGACATGTGAGGCCAATTCAGTATAGAATTGGTGACTTGCAGAGTGCACATCTCCAATTTGTAGCATGCAAAAATGAGAAGATTTTCATTGAGCCAAGTTCTGGATAATATTTTTGGTGAAAATGAGGGAGAGGACACAGAGGAGCATAGTGATTTGGATGAGCAGGTTTCTGAGGAGGAAGACAATGTGCAGTATCATCCAGAAGACACAGACACATCTGATGAGTCTGATGAGGCCACCGGTGCTGAAGCTGCTCCCGCTGAAATATTCAAGTCCAAAAATGGTAAGATCTGTTGGAGCTCAGTACCTCCTGTTGTACATGGCAGGGCAGCTGCTGCAAATGTCATCAAAATGACCCCTGGAATCACAAGGTTTGCTGTGATGAGAGTCAGTGACATCAAGACATGTTTTGAGCTATTTATGCCATTGTCACTAAAAAGAGTCATCATTGCTATGACAAACCTTGAAGGAAAAAAAGTCCATGGCAGCATGTGGAAAGACATTGATGAGGAATACCTGGATGCCTATATTGGTGTTCTTCTTCTTGCTGGAGTGTACAGATCCTGCAATGAGGCCACTGATAGTCTGTGGGACGCATCGACAGGCAGAAATATTTTCCGGGCAACAATGTCACTTCAGACCTTTCAAATGATATTAAGAGTCCTCAGATTTGACAACAGAGATACCAGAGCAAGATCTGACAAGAGATGGGTGCAGCTCCTTCCACTGATGTTCAACCCTGGGCCAGAGGTGACAGTGGATGAACGTCTTGTCCCTTTCCGAGGAAAATGCCCCTTCCGGCAATACATACCCAGTAAGCCAGGGAAGTACGGCATAAAACTCTGGGCAGCCTGTGATGCAAAAACCAGCTATGCCTGGAATCTACAGATTTACACAGGCAAAGGTGCAAGTGGCATCCCTGAGAAAAACCAAGGAAAACGTGTGGTCCTCGATATGACTACTGGACTGCAGGGTCACAATATCACTTGTGACAATTTTTTTACCAGCTATGACCTTGGACAATAACTTCTCAGGAGGAAACTTACCATGGTGGGCAAAGTGAAGAAAAATAAACCTGAGCTGCCTGCTGAAATCTTGCAGGTGAAGGACAGGGCTGCACTGTCCACAAAGTTTGCTTTTACAGACACCACCACTGTTGTCTCATATTGTCAAAAAAAAAAAAAACGGAATGTGATACTTATGTCTACTCTTCACAAAGATGCAGCTGTGTCATCAGGAAGTGACAAAAAGCCCACAATTATCCTCCACTATAACAGAAACAAAGGAGGAGTGGACAACCTGAACAAGCTGACTGCCACCTACACTTGCCAGCGAATGACCAGGAGATGGCCAATGGTTGTGTTTTACAACATCCTTGATTTGTCTGCATATAATGCATTTGTGTTGTGGACCCACATCCACCAAGGATGAAACTCAACCAAAAATAACAAGCGGAGAATGTTTCTTGAGGAGCTGGGAAATTCCCTTGTCAAGCCACACATTGAGCGAAGGGAACGGGTGCCCCAAGACCCAGATGCTGCAGTCTTGGTCAGACAGCTGCAGAGGTCACCTAGCACTTTGTCCACGCCAGCATCCTCCTCAGCCAGCCTTGCCTCAACATCATCCACCACAGCCACAACCACAACCCCACTCAGGCCACCTGATTCTAAAAGAAAGAGGTGTCAGGTCTGCCCAAGCAGTAAGGACAGAAAGACAAATGTACTGTGCTTCAACTGCAACAAATATCTCTGCAAAGAACACACTAAAAGTGTCACTTTTTGCCACACATGCCTCTAAACACACACACACACGCACACGCACACACATACATGTTCTTGCACACAGACTTTTACTCTGATTTTGTTTTTTATTAGTGTTGGAACAAGTAATTGATTTCTATTGGTTTGATTTGCTTGATTGGTTGTTGTTTGTTTGACCTTGCAAATCTATATTTGGTTATATTTATATATATATATATATATATATATATATATATATATATATATGTTCTGTTTTTCATTTTGTGTTTGTACTAAAGTTCTATTGCTGAAAAAAAGAGACTTTTTTGCCTTTTTGAAGTAATTATATATATGGGTTGAAACTGACCCGTAACACCATACAGTGGGGATCGAAAGTTTGGGCACCCCTGCTAAAAAAATTTGTATTAATGTGCATAAAGAAGCCAAGGAAAGATGGAAAAATCTCCAAAAGGCATCAAATTACAGATTAGACTTCTTATAATATGTCAACAAAAGTTAGATTTTATTTCCATCATTTACACTTTCAAAATAACA